ACGTTCACCATAACATATTATCCCATCTGTGGGCAAACTTCCTTTTTTTTTTAAKGTTATTTTTATTTTTTTTCWTAAGGTTTTTTATTTTTAACTTGCGTTTGACTAAGAATTTGAAGATGTCTCCGAGACAAAAGTTGTTTGTGTTATTATTTTACATAACATATATTTTTTGACAAAGATCTTACTGTTAACTTCAAAATTGTTTTATAGAGTCTATAAATGTTGAAAACGACATATAGTCCTATATGCCAAAATTCACAAAAACTGTTTTTTTACAACTTTCGAGTTTGTTTTATTGGAGCTTTGCTTTTCTGCAAGTCCATTGAGAGACTTATAGTCCTATAACAGGATCTTTGCAAGATAGAGTTTTCCTCCACATCTTGAGGATCGCTCGATTGTTTGTTTGATTTCTTGCCTTGTCTCTCAGAAAGTGGTCGAAAATGTGTTTTTTTTTTATCAGAAATAGAAGTCTGACTTCTACTTTTTCACTCTATACAAAATATTGGGTTTTGTGTTTTTTTTGGGTTTTCACGAATCCTGTGTTAACTGCTACTTTCAACAAATACTGGTACTAGACTTTGGGGGTTGGACGCAAGAGGGATACAAGATTTGTTTTGGGGGTTGGACGCTTACTTCGGGGGGGTGAAATTCTTGGGGGTTGGACGCTCACTTTGAGGTTGAAATTCTTTAAGGGGGCWAGGGCAATTAGGGGGTYYAACTCTCACTTTCCGRGTTAGGACCCACCGCTAAAGRGGTCAAAAAAWTATATTGGGGGTCGGACTCTCACTTTGAGGGATTGAAATTAAATTYGAGGTGTGAATGATGACCTGGGGGCTTGGAACCACCGCTTTAGGGGTTCAAAAATTATATTGGGGGTCGGATTCTCTCTTTGGGGGGGTTGGATTCTCACTTTGGKGGTTTGAAATTCATTTCGRGGTGTGAATGATGACCTGGGGSYTAGGACGCATCGTTAGGGGGCTCCAAAAACTATATTGGGGGTCGGACTCTCACTTTGGGGGGTTGAAATAATTTCGGGGTGTGAATGATGACCTGGGGGTTAGGACCCACCGCTAAAGGGGTCCAAAACTGGGCTACCGTCCGTGCGGCACGGCTCGCCCCGGCTCGCACGGGACCCGCCCGGGAGGCCCGACCGTGCAGGTTGACCGGGCTGGTACCGGGCCTCCCTCACACAAAATAGGGAGCTGGGGGGTTCGGAGTGCTGAAGGCCTGTGTGTGTTCCCCCGCCCCTCGAGGACCTCCTTGGCCCAAGAAAAAAAAAACGAGGGCCCAGACCCTCGTTTTTTTTTCCCGAAAACACATGATCTACACCGTCGATCTTGCGGATCGACGGTCGGGACAGAGGCGCGCGGGGCCCCCTCGCGCAGCGGGCATTTCGAATTCGAAATCGACGCCAGCCCGTTCGTCGCTACGCCCGCCCGTTGGAGCTGCCGCCCGCTGCTGCTCGTCGTCCTTGCCTGCTGGGGTTGCTGCGCCATCACCTGCTCGAGGTCGTACCGCTGGAGCTGCCGTCCGTCAAAGCAGCCATCGCCAAGGTTGGTACCCTACCCCCGGCCCCCAACCCCC